GACAAACAAACACACACACAGACAAACACACACACACACACACACAGACACACTCACACAAACACACACACACACACACACAGACACACACACACACAGACAGAGACAGACACACACACACAAACACAAACACACAGACACACACACACACACACAGACACACACACACACACACACACACACACAGACACACACACACACACATCAGTGCTTGTGTCCTAAGTCAGCAAATAAACACACTGGCTCGCTGATTCTGACTCATATTTTACAGTTTTACAACAATTGTGTGTATGTGTGTGTGTGTGTGTGTGTGTGTCTGTGAGTGAGTGTGTGTGTGTGTGTGTGAGAGAGAGAGAGAGAGAGAGCGAGAGAGAGAGAGAGAGAGAGCGAGAGAGAGAGAGAGAGAGAGCGAGAGAGAGAGAGAGAGAGAGCGAGAGAGAGAGAGAGAGAGAGCGAGAGAGAGAGAGAGAGAGAGCGAGAGAGAGAGAGAGAGAGAGCGAGAGAGAGAGAGAGAGAGAGCGAGAGAGAGAGAGAGAGAGAGAGAGTGTGTGTGTGTGTGTGTGTGCGTGTGTCTGTGAGTGAGTGAGTGAGTGAGTGAGTGAGTGAGAATGAGGTGTGTGTGTGTGTGTATGTGTGTGTGTGTACACGTTTTTAAGACAAATGAGGACATAAATGTGTATAATGACAAAGGTATGACAGGTATTACAAGGAGAAGGTGACTTTTCAGGACATTACCCCATGTCCCCACTTTTCAAAACGCTTATAAATCACACAGAATGGAGTGTATTGAAAATCTGAAATAGCAGAAAGTCTCCTGTGAGGGGTAGGTTTAGGGGTAGGGTTGGTGTAGGGCAATAGAATATACGGTCTGTACAGTATAAAAACCATTACGCCTATGGAGAGTCCCCACTTTCACAAAAACAAACCTGTGTGTGTGTGTGTGTGTGTGTGTGTGTGTGTGTGTGTGTAACCCTGCCTGCAACAGCTGGTACAGAAAACCCCACCCAAAACACACACACACGTCATTTGATCAGAGTCCTGGCAGCACAAGTGCTCTGAGATCTCATGAGACGCAGAATTACAGTGAAACACAGCGTCAAACTCAGCCAGAATCAACAGATGCAGAAGCAGAGACACGCCGCACATCTGAAGCCTCACAAACACGCTCCGCATCACACGCATGACCACACAAACACGCATTCCTCCGCATCTGCATCTGCCCTCCTGCACACCAACCATGATATACAACCAAACACTTGGAGAATCATATCTACTGTCTGCATTTCCAAAGGGCTATTTAACTAAAGAAAGAAAGAGAAGAGAAGAGGAGAGAGAAAGTCAGAAAGAAAGAAAGAAAGAAAGAAAAGCAAGAAAGAAAGAATTGTAAAAACAAATAAGCTGACCAACATTTCTCAGTGTACTTTGGTTTAACTTGATCTACCAAAATAACTACAATTGTCAATGAAATAAAAATGAAGAAACACTATGTAGACACATTTTTTTAAATAGCAAAAATAACAACAACAAAATTATTAAAACCTGAACTGAAATTAAAATGAAAAATATGAAAATAAAATGTCTAAATATTCATAAAAACTATTTCAATGATACTAAAAGTATCTACAGGTTTCCCAAAACTCCTAGAGGAAGAAAAGAAAACTATTAATTACAGAAAAATCCATTTTTAAAAATAATTTTCAATACAAAATATAAAGCCTGGGGGAGGGGGGATGAATTAATATTCCCCCCAAGGTTTTCCATTATTTTTAGAACCTTAAATGTAACTAAATGTAGAAAAACTAAGATGAATAAAACAGACAGTAAATGGTTCTTCTGGAGCTTGCTAACTTAATAAACAAGTTCCACTGACCCGGTCACTAGTCATGCTTATGGTTATGATCATATCCTCAGCTCATCTTGCAATACTTAAACTTAAAATCACAGCAGCTAAATCACCACTGTGTAATTAATTATAGCCTACTTAATATCATTGACTCAAATCTAAACTCACATTTTATTAACTGAACAATGTTAAGAGTTTTAAATGGTCACTTCAACACTTACAACAAAGTACTGTGGTAATAACACGGTACAGTAGATCTGCTTTAACAGATATATCAATGTAACGAATGCATGCCATATTCAAGTAGATGTTATTCAGTTTTAGCCTAATAAATAGAAAAGTCTTGCACGTGTACAGATGATTTATATAAGATCTAAGTGAAGAAAGCATGACAGACACACAGAAGCACTTACTGAGAGCATCTAATCTTATTCTCGAAAGCAGATCATGAGACTTTAAGAAGATCACACGGAACAAAGCACTTACTCTGAATTACAATCAGCAAAGCCACAGACACAAACATTTTATCCACAAACACCGACGAACTTTCCAGAAGAATCAGTCCGCGAACAGCTCAAATAAACGCGTGTGTGTCCAGACAATCTGAACCGGGTTTGAGTCGCGCAAAATCACCGACTGACTACACGCGCTGTGTGTGTGTGTGTGTGTGTGTGTGTGTGTGTGTGTGAGAGAGAG